AAAAAAAAAAAAAAAAAAAAAAAAAAAAAAAAAAAAAACCGCCGTTAAAGAGAGGGAGTCGGCACCGACGCGGCATGGGCTTATATAAACAAGGAACAGAAACAGGTCGCACTCCGACACCGTTCCCGGAATCGCGACTTCACTCTGATGCCTTAATACAATCCCAAGCAATCCACAGGTATCGTTTCGATTCTTCTTCTTCTTCTTCTTCAGCATTCTGCAGAGTCTTTCGAGTAATTCATGTAGTAGTTAGATCTGGTTGCTGTCTCTCGATCCTCTGATCTTACTGCCGGAATGTGTATATGTCATCTTGATTTCTTGGTGCCACATTTTGTTGCTTTTGATTTCTAATTTCTTGGCGGAATTTTGAAAGTGATTTGCTGATACTGGATACATGTATGATTTTCTGATGATTGAGAGGTTGTGTTCCTGTGGTGTTACTGTAGCGTTCAATTTGTTGGTAATTTGTTAGTCGATCATCATAAGCTCCTTTTTTCGAGTTCATTCATAGAGACTGTTTGCATTTGGAAGCTTGTATATGTGGTTACGATGTTGGTTAGATAAATGTTAATTAAGACGAAATCCTCCACCTATGTGAGCCTTTTTTTTAATCTAAATATGCTTTTGATTTATTTTTATGGCATGGTGAGATTTGGATAATTGTAGTTCTTATAGAAAATAATCCTGGTGACTTGCAATCCTATGTTGAAGTACTGACTGATTCATCACTTTAAGTTTTTGGGTTTGGTTTGAGTGATTTAACATGGTGGAACTTCCACCCTATGTTTGAATCGCTGTAATGTTATTTTCACCCTAATTAATATTGATTGTCATTTGTTGGGCCTTCTACATATTTACAAACCTACAATACCTACAAGTTAAGGAAAGTGTCAAAGTATTGATGTAATTAAATTTACCATAAGTTTTGGGTTGAGTAGTGATTTAATATCATATAGTTTCATTTTTATACAAATGGAAGATGGCAGTGTGGCTTCGGTTCTCTTCCCCCATCTCTCAAAATATTGTTTTTAGTAAGAACAACCTTGGATTTTCTTATATATGCGCCGATATGTGAATTGATGTGTTTACTTTTATTGCAGAGTTGGTTTGTGTATCAATTGTGACCCTGTTGTCTCCATTGTCACGGTTTTCGTCGTTGCAGTATTATGGAGACTGAAGGTACAGATGTTTGCATGGATAAAGAGCCAGATCGTGTTATAACGTATTCCTCTAGAGGTGGTTCCCATGCTTCATCTTGTGAAGATAGCCTCAGTCATCAGGATGTCATGGAGTCATTTTGCGAAATAAATGGGGATCACGATATCAACAATTCAGAAGAGGGAAGTGAATCAAAGGAATATGAAGTGAAGGAATGTACAAATGAAAAATCAATCAAGATTCCTGAAATGCACCCTTCAAAGAAACCAGGCCAACAGAAAAATGTGGTTAGCAGGTTGACTAATGAAAAAGAGAGACTGGAGGAGAAGGTACAAGAAGGAAAGAACGATGAGAAATTACTGTTAACTGTGAATTCATTGAAATCTTCTGCTGGAAATGCTCGTTCAAGACATACTGTTCCACAGCCATTTGCCTTGGCAACGGAGAAGCGTGCTTCATCGGGTACTCGACTTCCCAGCGCTATCACCACTGAAAAATCTACCAAAAACAATATTCGGCCTGCAAAGACCAAATCAAATCAGGTACATTCTTAGTTCCCAGGATTTGTATAATTCAATTCATTGGACATGCTTAACCCACTGCTTTCACTTGAACGGATGTTTATCAATGAATTTGCTTTTACTTTCTGCAGCCCACATCTCCTAGGGTGTTGAGGAAGCCACTGCAACCTAATAACAAGAAGCATGCTGACGAGGAAGATTCCTGCTCTGCGGTTTCCGTGTATCTTTCTCATCTTTACACTATTTTATTTGGTACTAGATTTAACCTTTCCACATCTGCTCTAAAATTGATTTTTGCCATCGAACGGTAGCAGTGCAGCATCAACTCGGGCTATCAAGACCAGAATTACTGTTGCATCAGTTCCTGCATTGAGGTGCACAGAGCGTGCAGAGAAAAGGAAGGAGGTACTACAGCCAGTTCATCTTATCGTATCCAGTTTCTTTGTACCCAACTTTTTCTATAATAATCTATATCCTACATTCTTACGACATTTTTTCTTATGTATTTAGTTTAATTCGAAATTGGAGGAAAAACTCCAGGCTCTGGTGGCTGAGAAGACCGAGTGTGAGACGAAGTCCAAGGTAAAATATGTTCTTCCTCTGGTGGAGGAGGATATTTGTTGCTGCCTCCCTTTCCTTTCCTTTCCTTTCCTTTTCTTTTTTTTGCTTGTCACTGTCTGTAAATCTGTTCTTATTAGTTGATTCCTGAAGTTTATTCTAAAGTTATTCTCTTTCTTTCCTTGTCATCTTCATTAATCTTCCCAAATTTGAAGGAAGAGACTGAGGCCGCTATCAAACAACTAAGAAAGAGTTTATTATTCAAAGCAAATCCAATGCCAAGCTTCTACCACGATGGGCCTCCTGCCAAGGCTGAGCTGAAAAAGGTACTTGTTACAAATTTTTGTGGCCCCTACATTATCTTGACAAACAGAGAGCATATTATTGGGAATATACGAATTCATTTTCTGCTTAAATTATTATTAATAATACTGTGTGCCAGCTCCCACCAACTCGTGCAAGGTCACCTAAACTTGGCCGACGTAAGAGTTGCAACAATGCGGTTCTATCCAATGGAGACAAGATAAAATTCAGTCATGGCAAGGGAAATGGCCATCGTACCGACAGTTCCAACAGAGATACTATTGCATTGGATGTCACTGAGAATCGGAGCAATGTCATTCGCTTTGTAGAAAACGAGCTGAAGCAAGGAGAAGCCTTTTGCGAGGTGATTTCTATTGATGTAAATGGTCCAAACAATACAAATATTTCTGTCCAGTCTTAAGTTGGTGACGAACTTCCAAGTCTCTTCTACCATGCTTTACCTCTACCATTTTCAAGAGTTCGTTGCAGTGGTTTATGTAATTTATGAAATGTAAATTTCTGTAATTTATATTGTTTGTTTATGTGGAAGCTTTTTACTTCCAGATCAAATAATTTTCTTCTAAGGGCCCTCCCCCTGACAGAAAAAAGGAACCAGAAAGAAGCAGATCTACTCTACTAAGATGTGGTTCGAGCTATTGTTTCCTTTGTTACTTTTGTACGTAAATTACACATTGACCATTCTTGTTTCATAGACTTCGATCTGAAAATAAAAGTGGATACTGTTCCTGTGGCTTTATTGCTTTCTGTTACATGACTTCCATTATTTATGAACCTAACTTTGCTTTCTATTATACAAGAAAGGACTATTCCTCTGTCGGTTATTCACGTGCACGGTTGAGGAGGCAAAACAAGGTGCGTTTCTTGAATCCCTGTCTGGAAAATATTTTTGCTTGAGCAAATTAAGATAGAAGAACAAAAAGGGCTAGCGCAAAAATGTATGAAATTAGGTGTTGGAGCCTCGCCCTCGAATGCTATGAGCTGAACAACTCTTGGTCGTTTTATCTCATGAGTTAGGTTTATGAACTTCGAGTATTTCGAGATTAAGAAGTTAGCGCTTATTTTTTGCCTTCGCTGTGCTTTTTGACAGGGAACTTCTTCAAATGCAAAACATGAAACAAACTCAAAAAACCAGTCTCCTCACGGATGTTCTTCTCCAGCCATGAGGAGAAATCTTTGGTCTAGCATCTCAACTCCCAACCGTCTCGTACGACACATCCAGCTCGTGAGTTGCTTGGTGCCCTTTTCTAAGGTAAAAGAGATCCTTTTACCCTTTGCTTCTTCTATGACATATAACACGTTTAATATCTTGGATATCCATCAAGAGATTTGAATCTCTCTCAAGATTTACTATTAGTTAAGTTGAAGGCGTCTATCGTTTCCACTAGTATAGAGGACTCACACCGATTCGACATACAAACTCGATGTCTTTCCTTACAGCTAAAGCTTCTATAGTTGCCAAAAGAAGAGGGGCTCCATAAATAAGAAAGATTTAGCTGTCATATTCCTTGGCTCTTGGGTATTTAGCCTTCCAAATGTGTATGTATTGTCTTGGTTCCATCCAACCAAATTTCCATTGATAGTTTTTTTCTTACCAAATTCTTATGAATGGCAATTCTTCATTCGTTATTTATGCCCAGACTTCAATATGACATTCAAAATGAAAACAAAAACCAAGGTATTGATTGTGCACATACTGAGCTATTCTTAGGCTTTGGATAAGGCTAGGTTTGAGATGTGTTTTGGGGCTTTTGTTGATTCGGGTTGGGGTACGGGTTCAATGTGCAGATGATTTGGTCAATCCGACCCAACCTGATAACATAAAAGAAAAAAGAAGAGTTGGGCCCAAGTACACGTACTCAATACATGGTACGTGTACTCCTCCTTGCACGATGCACACCTTAGTCCTCAGCCAATGTATCAAAGATCAATCGTCATCAGTACTTCTTCCCAGTTCCTACTCGAGTACCCTCCTCGTTACTCTCCGCCCAATACAAACACAATATATAGTCTTCGCACAGCACAATTGACGGCTCCACACCCACATCCACCTTGCACAGCATCATCCTCCTTGCAGTGCACTCTTCAGTCTTTGGTCGATGTCTCCTCCTCACATTCTTTTGGTCGGCACCTCCTCCTCGCCAATCGTCACTCGGTTATTCTTCCTTCCTTCCACAGTTATCCTCCTCACAATCCTTCTCGTAGTGCACTCTTCAGTCTTCGATTGGTGCCCGATGCCTCCTTGCAAGTTGCCGCATAGTTATTCCTTCCTTCCACTCAGCTCTTTTTCCTTCCTTCTATCGTTGCTCTCTTCAGCAATCTTGAGCATATATTTTGAACAATTCAACAACTCAATCAATCCAAACAACTTGAACTTTTGAATTTGTCTAAAAAATTATTGGATTGGTCTAAAACCTATTTACTCCCTTTAGCATGATTGCTTAGGGTTTTGAGTGGTTACCCATGTACCCACATGTTTAAAGTTATCATGAACAATTACACATGTTTAATTCATTTAAAATTTGATGAAATTAAAAAAGAAAAAAATTCTATAAAGTTTTTTATTTGGATTACGTGTACCATCAATTGGACCCAACAAAAATTATTTCTGATTTTCTGATTTTTTAAAATTAAATTTATAAAAATTATTTCTACTTGTTATCAACCTTTTTATTCTTTATTTTTTTATTAATACGGGTCATGATTGAATGCAATTTCTTTATTTTGGAAGGACGGTTCCAAACTTTGAGACGGCTCTTTATGCTCACTTCATGTTCTTGATTTGACAATAACATTTGGATTTTTATACTAATTAAATAAATGAGATAATAATGTTGTCGGGTTCATCATTATACTCATTAAACGGTTTCTTAATCCCGACAAAAATGCCAAGGTGGATGACTGGATAAAATTACATTTAAGGTATCTTAAGTTTCGTTCATAACTCGAGGTTCAATTACTCTGGAATAGATTACAAACTTCGAATTGACATATTGAATACTAACTCTAGAATTTAGGAAAATTTTATTATATTACTTTTAATATTTTGATTTATGATTTAGCTATTGATCATTTTAATATTGATGAGAATAAGAATTAACATGTTTCAATTGATCATAAGTTCTAGCTGACTAAGATTTTGATATCGATATATGACTAAAATTGAAAAAGAAATTAAAAAAATTGCACGTGGGGCGACTCACTAGATCCAATTCCTACCTATTTCCTGAAGTTTCTAACATTGATTTCTTCGTCAAGCTAGACGATTTAACCAAGGGAGAATGAATGACTCAAAAATAGACTTATAATTCTATAACAACTCCTACCCACCATGAAGTAGATATATTTTTGTTAATAATATAATATTAGAGAAAATAAAAATAATAAATGAGATGATTTAAAAAATACCCGTAAAATTTTAAGTAGCATTTAACCCCTTTTCTTTTAGTAATTTTTTTTTAAAAAAAATTCTTACCATCAATATACAGACTAAAACGTCTATCGACAACACATAAATTATCTTCATGCTTATTAATGTTACTTTTGAAAGTTCATGAGTATTTTTAAAATATTGTAATAACGGTAAGAGTATTTTCTTTAAAAGAAAATTAAAACCGTTGAAAACTCGATATTTAAGCTATAAAGGTATTTTTTAAACTATTTTGAAAAATTCATTTTAAACAAAGTATTAGAGTTTAAATCCAAAAATAAATATCTAAATAATAAATAACTCAATTAATTCGATAGTATACTATAATAAAAAAAAATTAAAAAAAGGTGTTCTTTTGGGCTTATCATTAATATAACCGGTTGAAATATTTATTAAATTTATTTATAACAAGCGTGAAACATTTGTTCTTTTATTTTATTTTATTTATTTTAAATCTCTACCTCCTTTTTCGAGCCTATAATTTCTTTATTATATTTCACTTTAAATTTTTAATTAGATTTAAGTACTAATTTATTTTTATTTATTTTATATAGTCTTCGATTCAGATTCGTCGTTATATTGTCGACTTTTGTCTATTTTAGTTTTGTTAAGATTTTAATGCAACCCGACTCTTATTAAATTTTATGAAATATATTCATAATTTTATATTAAAAAGAATTATCGTTGCGTATATAAAATTTACAATTGAAAATTCGAATCTTTTAAAAGCATAGAAATTAATAAAGTTGACCGAACCTCAAATGAATAAATTAATCCAAAATAATTTACTGAGTTATCTAAAAAACAATTTTGACTGATACAAAATTTTTTAAAAAATACTTTTACTATTAATTACGAAATAATTTTTTAAATTTTCATATATATTTTTTTTTAAATTAAAAAATTCTTAGATTTTTTTTATATATATATATATATTGATTTGATTTTATATTTATATCCAAATTCAACCGTGATATTTTAGAAGATATGTGAAGGAAAATGAAAGAGAGAAGAAAGGGACGGATTTCAAACCAATTATTCAACTCCCTTAAATAAAAATAAAAGTTGTCACCTCTTTATCCCAAAAGTTCTCACTTTTAAATAATAATTGATATATATTTCTTCCGTCCTCTAGTTTTACTTAATATCGTTAAAAATCACGAACCTTCATAATAGTACGATATTATCCGCTCTAAACACAAGTTCTCGTTGTTTGCTTTTGGTTTATCCAAAAAGCATCATTTCAACGTAGATGTATTCCTTGCTTATCTTTCGAAATGACGAGAATTAATAAATTTACAATACAAATTAAGCGATAAACTCATAATTAAGCTACAAATTAGCAAAAACCAACTAACAAAAATTAAAAAATAAAAACTATAATATGTTGGATGATGAAAGTCCCACATCGGTTAATTTAGGGAATGGTCATGGGTTTATAAGTGAGGAATACTAACTCCATTGGTATGAGGCCTTTTGGGAAGCCCAAAGCAAAGCCATGAGAGCTTATGCTCAAAGTGGACAATATCATACCATTGTGGAGAGTCGTGTTCGTCTAACATAATAAATATTAAAAAAAGTGACAATTTTTAATATATACATGAATCACATTTAATATTTTAATGTATAGTTTTTAGATAAATAAATATGGGTATGTTCTAAATTGCCTTTATATAGGCTGGCACTTTCAAGTTTATCCTAATCTTCCACTCCAGCAATCGCCGGCGGAGTTCTCTCTCCGACATGAAGCTCTCCGGTAACTCTCTCCCCATCCTCTCCGAGGTTATGGGAGTCTAACGTTTTTGTCTTCTTTCTCTGGGTTTCTGATTATGTTGTGTTTTGTGGTTCAGATCTCGTCGAAAATGGCGGCGGAATCGTCAATCAGGCTCGGATCATCGCCGTGTCGTTGGTCGGAATCGCGGCGGCCGCCGGAACGCGTTACCACTGGGGCAGGAAATCGAGGCCGTCGGCCGTGATCGAAGATCAGAAAATCATTCCGGTGATCGGACGGACGGAATCCGGCCGGTCCGGAAACATTGAAGCGTTCCCTCACTATGTTGGTATGGTTCCAAAAATTTAATATTATTCATTAATTAATATTTTTTTAATTTAATAAAAATAAATAAATATTAATTAGCTCCTGACCAGTCAGTAGGTTAGGTATATGACACTGTGTCGTTATATTATTATTTATTGACGACAATAATAATTAACCTACAAATTTGGAAAATTTAAGAGAAGGTAATAAGACGGAAAATTGTTTGACTGATAATTTATGAATTCTATTGCAGCGAGGCAATTAGGGTTTACGGATGTCGGGGAGTGCCCGAGGTTGGCAAAGTTGATGAACGATTATTTGAAGAAGAAAAAAGGATGTGAAGAATCGATATACGAGTATTTAATTGATGAAAAGGATGGTGATTCGTTATACGTGAAGCTAATTGAAGAGTTGGAGACTTGTATTTTGAGCTACTTTGCTTTTCATTGGGACAAAGCTCCTCAATTGGTTTCTCAGGTATGCTTACTCTCGACACGACCATATTTTATTATTAGGTTGGTTAGATAAATTATAAGTGTTCGAATTGATCATGTTAATTACAGTTGTTTGTTCTTCTGGGAAGACGATCTTCGTTGGGTTGCCCATTTTCTTATGGGGCCTCGTGGGGACCTTAAGAGACCCACTTTTATGGAGCGTAATGGAGAGGGAGGGAAAAAATCGGGAAAACTAAATATTTTCGTCCTCGTCCCGTATACCCCATTTTTATATTATTATATACCAGATGAGGATTTTCGAGGAATACAAATAACCTCGAGTTTTTTTTAGATGTGGCTCGGAGGATAATTTTATATGGAACCCTATTCAATTATATATATGTCTCCACAATTAAATAATTTAATAAATTAATTATTTTATTTAAGCTAAATTAATAAAAACATCATTTAAATTTTACCTTTCATCAATTTCAATAATACTTTAAACTTAAAAAAAACATTTTGAAATACTTTTAAATCTTTTTAAAAAGTTTAGCAAATGGTTAATATTTTGTTTTAAAAAATAGCGATGAATTTTTCAAAACGTTTACAAAAATACCCTTTCAATTTTAAAAAATTTCATTAATATTTTTAATTTTAATTTTTTAACTCCACAAACACATTTAAACTTTTTTAAAAAATTCAAAAATATTTTCACAGTTAACCCACATTTTATAAATATTCTTAAATTTTTAAAAATAATATTAAAATTATTAAAGATAATTTATAATATTAAATTATTAAAATTATTATTAAATTAAATAATATTTTCACCTTTTTTATTGAAAGACTAAGTATTAACAAAATAAATAATTGGAAATAGATTGCAAAAATGACATTAAAATAGTCCCATAAAGTTTTTTTTTTTTTTTTTTTTTTTGAAATATGATATGAAATGTGCATGTAATTTATTGAAGTAGTTGGGACAATGATTTTAATTATAATTAAAATAACATGTAACATTTCCTCATGTTATGAATAAAATATGATATAATATTATTATACAATGATATTGTTTTCTTTTTCTTTTTTCTAAATATTTTATGTCAAAGACTTTATTCTATAGGTTTATCTCTCTATTTATTTAATATTATTTGGTAAATGATTGAGTGTATACTCATTATTTGGATATATATTACATTTAATATTCGATAATTTTTCAACGACAGAGATTAGTGATGCATTAATATTCTGAATATTTGATATTTGAGTTTTATGAAACTTAAATTATTAATGTAACGTGTACTATATATAAGTATAATTTTTTAAAAAATAATAAAAAAAATAACCCGACCAACAAAAAATTTCGAGATTTATTATTTTTAATTATTATTTTATACATAATATTAATTTTTGTTGGGTTGGTGCAGGCATTGACGGATGAATCTGAGCACAAGACAAAGTTCAAAGGCTTAGTGATGGCCGCCACGAGGTTTATATTTCTAGATTCTAATTTCTCAACTTTTAAAATCAATTATAATCCAAATAAAATTAAAAATAGTAATAAATTCAGAAATATTTTGAATAAAAAAGAAAATTAAATGTTTTTAATTTGATGAAGCTCAGGAAGCAGAGGTTCGAGAGGGTGACGAAGGAGCTGAAAATGACGAGGGTTATATCGACTCTAGTCGACGAGATGAAAGCAATCGGCGGCGGTGGCGAGGCTGATTCTAAATGCACCGACGTTATGGTGCCGGTAGCGCTTAGTCGGAGGAGCCCCGTTCTCCTCCTCATGGGCGGCGGAATGGGAGCGGGTAAAAGCACTGTCCTCAAAGATATCCTCCAAGAGTAAGTTTTAGCCTCGTACCAATTAAGATATATTCTTTATTTGATTTAATTGGTTTGGTTGGGTTGAATTTCAAATAATTTTGGGTTAATTAGACCGACCGTTTTGTAGACCGTTTTGGTCGGAAGCCAAAGCAAAAGCCGTAGTGGTAGAGGCGGACGCTTTCAAAGAAACCGACGTCGTTTATAAAGCAATTAGCTCCATGGGCTGCCCCGATGACATGCTTTCATCCTCCGAGCTGGTGCACCAGTCATCGACCGACGCAGCATCGTCGTTGTTGGTGACGGCGCTAAACGAAGGCAGAGATGTGATCATGGATGGAACTCTTTCATGGGAGCCGTATGTGGAACAGACGATTGAGATGGCGAGAAATGTTCACAAACATCGGTATCGCATGGGGGTTGGCTACAAAGTTGCTGAGGATGGCACCATCACTGAAAATTACTGGGAACAAGTGAGCCCAGATGAAGAACATCAATATGATTTTGATGGGATAGTTGAGAAAGATCGAAAGCCTTACCGAATTGAATTGGTTGGAGTTGTTTCTGACCCGCATTTGGCTGTTATTCGAGGCATAAGGTATGAACAACTTAGGTTAAATTACAAATTTCGTTCGCTTAGATCTTATGGTCTAAAAGTTATAATCCGTTTTTAACCCATGTGAGATATTTCAATCTACTCTCATCTCTCAATGGTATCAGAGTCAATCATTGGGTGGTGTGTCAGTGAGAACTGAAGAAGGATGAATTGAGAGATCCCACATTGATGTGATTGGAGATGGGAACGAAACATTTCTTACAAGGGTGTGGAACCCTTTCGTTAGTAAATGTGTTTTATAACTGTTGTGGGATCTCTCAATCTACCCTTATCTCTCAATGGTATCAGAGTCAGTCACTCGGCAATGTGTTAGCGAGGATGCTAGGGATGGATTGAGAGATCCCACATTAGTTGAAGAGGGGAATGAAACATTTCTTATAAGGGAGGGTGTGGAAACATTTATCTAGTAAAAACGCCTTTTATAATCATTGTGAGATCTCTCAATCTACCTCCATCTCTTAATGGTATCATAGCCAGTCATCGGGCAGTGTGCCGGCGAGGATGCTAGGTCCCTAAGAGGATGAATTGAGAGATCTCACATTGATTAGAGAAGGGAACGAAACATTCTTTATGAGTGTGTAGAAACCTCTCCCTAGTAAACACGTTCTATAACCGTTGAGATGAATAAACAGGAGAGCAGTAATAATTGGAAGGGCGGTGAGAGTGAACTCACAATTGAAGTCCCACAAGAGATTTGCAAGAGCTTTTCCGAGATACTGCAAGCTTGTTGATAACGTTAGACTCTATTCCACCAATGTCCTCGGCAGTCCCCCAAAGGTAAACAAATCTCGAAAAACGGCTAAACTTAAATATTAGTGTATGAAGTTCAAAAACTAAACTTATAATTATTTACAGTTGATTGGGTGGAAAAACGGAGACACCAAGTTACTGGTGGATCCCGAGGAAATCAAATGTATTTTGGTGACGAGTAGGATGAAGGAGAATGCAGCTTCTGTTTATGAACTTTACGAAGATGCAAGCGTTTTAAGTGAGGAAGGTTCTCTATGGAAAGACACTGTCATGTCATCTTCTAGGGCCAATGTTCAAATGGAGTTGAAGGCTTCCATTCAAGCCATTGAATCAAAATAACAACTCTTTTGTATTTGGTCGGGACGTTTACACTCTTAGGAATGAAGGATCGGGTCAATTTGTGTTCGACTTGTTACATAATGTTTTTTTAGAAATTCGTAAAGAACCCTTTTGAATGTTTGGCGTGTACTAGTCTTGAAGTGATCTTGTTGCTGAGTATTGACGTTTTTATTGTTGTTTTACACTCTTTCTCTCTAACATCCCTCGTTAACCACAAAGTGTTGAACATTATTGTTAATCGTTCTATTCTTGAATGACATACGTAGTTCGTCAAGTGAGTAGAATGCTTATTGGTGGTCAATCAGGAGGACGTTTTCTATTTGTGGTTGTCGTTAGCTATCACTATGAACTTCGTTGGCTAAAAAAGAGATGGTATCAACTCCATTTAAAACAAAATACAAACCTACGAGAATTCACGTTCAAAGGAGAGTAAGAAAAGAGAAGAGAAAACGAAAAAACAAAGGAGGTGACAACCACGATGACGACTACCAATACGGGATGAGAGAAAAAAAGAGGAAAAAAAACATTTTTTATTTTAAATAAATTTAAAACTAATTTTTTCAATAATAAAGAGTGATATTTTAGCTTTCTTCTAGCTTATTAACAATATATATATTATTATTATTATTAAAAAGGTATTGGGCCTAATATGGGCTTCATTGAAAGCCCAAGTATGAAGCCCGTATTAACCAAAACTGGTTCCACTCGGCCTAGGGTTTCAGCCACTGGAATTGCAGCAAGTAACCAACATATATATATAACACTGAAAAACGAAGGCTAAAAACCCTGCAGATTGTGAAGCTTCATCGCGCCGATTAGCTCTACCTTCTCATCCCGGAGTTCCGACAACGTAAACCATGGTATGTTCTCAACTCATTCTTCTCTTCGATTTATCGTTCATCTCTTTCAGTTTCTTTGATGGCGTTGCCTCGGTCTCCTTTAGGCGGATGTGGAAGCCGATGTTGCAGTGGCGGGGCAGCCAAAGAAGAGGACGTTCAAGAAGTTCAGCTTCCGAGGCGTCGATTTGGATTCTTTGCTGGACATGTCTACCGATGAGCTGGTCAAGCTCTTCACTGCCCGTGCACGCAGAAGGTTGCTACAACTGAATGTGTCATGAATTGATTTTTGTGTTCTTTTTCGTTCTTAACGTACACGTTTTTCTAACATTCTTATGGTTTTTGGATAGGTTTCGTCGGGGTTTGACAAGGAAGCCAATGGCTCTTATCAAGAAGCTTCGTAAAGCGGTTAGTATCTTTTAGATCCATTTCTGCCTATTCAATATTGCAATTATTTTACAACTTTGTATTGTTTTCTGATTCTCACTGGCGATGCTGTTTTCTGGAATGCAAATGGTGATGGACTCTTTCCTGTGTAGTATCTTAATCTTGCCATGGTTTAGGTTAAATTTTTCTTCAGTGTTCTTGATGAGTAGATAGGTGGAAAGAAAATGATTTAATTAGGCCATTATACCTTAAATATATAGTTTTATCAGATGAGAATTCCAACAATATGTTTAGACTATGAATCAATCCTTTTGAGGGCTGTTATTAACTTATATTCTCAAGCTTCCCTGTAATTTGCTTTAACCTTCAAATGAACAACAATGAACTGAAACTTTGGGAAAGTTTTCATTTTCCATAAGCTTTTGCCCCAAATCATCTAGTGGGAAATTTTGCCCTCATGATCAACAGTTTTGAATCAGTTTCATCACAAAGGAATGCACTCCCACTTTTATTTCTGAAAACACACGCTGTTGTCCTGATAGTGTGGTATTCTTCATTATTAACACGAGTCTGACTTCAAGCCGACATGTTTTACCAACTTACGTTGCTGCTTGCAATTCTCTCCCTTGTTTTTGCTATTGGATTTCTCGTATCCTTACATGGGAACTTACCCATTGTTGGATATGTAAGTTGATGTACCATGAATCTCCGAATCTCGTCCTATACGGTTGTGTTAGTTCTTGCAGTTGTTCTGACTTTTCCATTGGATTTCTCATATCTTAACATGAAAACTCAAGATCATCCTTCAGTGGTAGATTTAGATTTGGAAGTGAATATATTTTGAATCTCCAAAATTTATCATTTCATTTTGAACTTTTATATTTTCCATTTTATATCTTCAGTGGTAGATTTATATGTGAACGTATCCTTCTTCTCTGGATACCTCTTCCTTTTCCAAAAAACAGAAGAACAGTTGAGCTATTTTCTTTTGATGTCTCATCTCATCTATTTATTTATTTTTAAACTGAAATAGAAAAGGGAAGCACCTCCTGGTGAGAAGCCAGAGCCCGTCCGAACACACCTTCGGAACATGATCATTGTGCCAGAGATGATTGGAAGCATCATTGGAGTTTACAACGGCAAAACATTCAACCAAGTTGAAATCAAGCCAGAGATGATTGGCCATTACCTAGCAGAGTTCTCCATTTCATACAAGCCCGTCAAGCACGGTAGGCCCGGTATTGGTGCCACCCACTCTTCAAGATTCATTCCTCTCAAGTGAAAATCAGTGTCGAGTTCTTGCTTGCTTAGTTTTGTTATATTATTACATGAAACTTGGATGTTTATCAGATTTTGTTCCTAGTTTTTGCCCATTTTCTATGCTTTATATAAGCTGATTAGTACTATGGAGGCTTGAGCTATTTAGTTTTTTGAAGCTGTTGTTACTGTTAAAATTTTTATTCTACTTGTCTCATCTAAATGTAGACTTGGTTGTACCTTTCAGTTTTACGTGGTTGTTTGCTCAAATATGTCTCGTTATATTTCATATCTATGGTCTAGATATATGTCCAGATTCGAATCTGTTAGTTTGAACGTACCTTCTCTGTTAGATTGTGATGTTTTATTTATCGAAATGAACTGGGTTTCTCCTCTTTAATTTGAGAGCGGCCGCCATAACAATTTTTTGTTAATCTTTTAAAAAATTATCCTTCAAAATTTTACTAAAATTATTTTTCATAAAGTTTGAAAAGTAGTAAAGTTATTATTATTTAATTAAACAAAAACGTGTTAATGGAATATAGTTTATTCAGATGAAAACCACATATTATTCAAAACCATTCTTAATTCCCACATGATTAGAAATTCAAGTCAACCACAATAATTGAATATCAAAAGAAATACTAAAATATATTTATTTATAATAAGACACACAAAAACAATATTAAAAAGAAAAAAGAAACTAATTTCCAACGTGTACTCTGTACCCCACACCACTTGTTATTTAAAATTAAAAATGGCTTTATTTTTGGTCTTTGGATCCTTCCTAGCATTGCCTTCGAAATCTCCCATCTGCTTCCCTTACCGTGGCCTGCAACACTCTTTCCACTTCGGCTCCTCCCATCTGCAAATCCCAAAGTTTCTTAAAAAACTCAATTCAAATTATGATCGTTGTAAGTTTATGGATAAAAAATAGACATAAACGTCGACTGGGTTAGTTCCTTACATGGGTATCATCAATGGCTAATTGGGCTGAAAACAGAGAGTTGAAGAAATTGGCATGAATGGCTTTGGGATTTATTCGTCCAGTTTTAAGAACATTAAGAACAGCCAGCATTGAATCGATCCCAGATGAAGGATTGGGCAATTCCAACCATATGGGTTTTGTTCCTTTCGCATTCTCTCTGTTTTTCGCTGCAATCGCCATCTCCAGCTCTGTGTTTCTCCTCTTTAACATCTCCTCCGAGACTCTCAGCTCTTTAATCGTCCTCGCCGCCGCTTGAACTATGGAGTTCTTATCATTCTAAAAAACAATCCCATATGGATCAGCCCATGAATTCGATTCAAAAACCGATGCAAAAAAACGTCCTGACCTTAGTTTTCTTAGGAAGCAGGGAGTGGATTCCCAAATAGCTCTGTTTCTCTCTCTCTCTTCTCGTCCTCTCGTTCATCATGTGCCTGTGACATTTTTCTCTCTCTAGATCGCCTAGAGCTGCCGCTTCTTTCTTCTCATGCCATTGCTTTCTCCAGTACTCAATCACCCGTTTGTTAACGGAATTAGAGGCGTCGGCAAGATTGTTTTTTTGCTCGATTCGGAAATTGGGTCGTGACAGATATGGTACAAAAGCACTTTTTTGTTGTTCGGCGGGAGCGGAGATAGGGGCATCGAGCCAGAAGAGATCGTTATGCCAGAATTCTACTGGAAAAGTATCATCCATGGGGGGAGGTGAAGAACGGTTTTGTTGTTCTTTTTTCAAAAATCAGTTGATTTGCAACGGTCAAGGAGATTGTTTGAGTGTGTGTATATATATATATATATATATGTTTTGGTGATGGAGATTAATAATAAATGAGGTTATTAAACATGTGATCAATGAGATTATTGTGGGGTTTATTTTTTGAGTACGAGATTATTAAACATGTGCTTATTTGGACTACTTGTGGGATTGAATTTGGTCAAACTTTCTGCCTAGCTCGTTTGGGAGGACTTGAACATAGGAATGGACTCATAATCTTGAAACTCTTTGACCGTGGATCCCACACATGCCTATTTTTGACCAATTTTAAAATTTGGATTTGTTGGATTGGTAATTCAATTAAACTCGGAATTTTCCACAACCCAATTCTTTATTTTATGGTTAGGTTCAGGTTGTGAAATAACGAAGCGTCAAATGGAGCAGTCCGACGACAAACACTAAGTGGAGAAGTTTGAAGAAAGTGGAACAGAGCGCCGAGCAGAGAGATAGTTGGTGACGACATCCGATGAGAAGCACAAAGACATGGTCGAATGGAGAAAATGAGAACTGAGAAAAGAGTTCAACGAAGAAATAAAGAGACAAATGACGTTGACGTCTGAAGATACACATAGACGAGACAAGAGACGAAACATAGAGAGAGTTGAGAGGAGTCAAAAGATGAATGCTATGATGTGAGTGTTTGAAACTACGAGTGTGAGAGTCGAGACTTCATTTCACTTACCCATTTACCCTCAAAGTTGAAGATGAACGCTGTGTGAGACTGCAAAACAAAGTCTCGAACTCACAGTCAAAGAGTAGATAGAGAGTCCGAGAGAAAGTTTGCAGACGCGCCAGGGGTAGGGGCAAACGCATACGATGACTCATGGGCTTCAACTGCATGAGCTTGGGGCTATTTTATTATTATTGTTTTTTTTTTTTTAAGATTTTCGAGTTGAGTTGGATTGTACCAATAATTTGAATTTCGAACCCGAAATCTGAACCGGATCGGATTCCAAAAAACAAACCCACCCAAATGCAAAATCCTTTAAAACTCAATCCGACCCTTATAATTCGGGTCGGGTGCCTACCATTTCAACACCAAGAAGCCCAAAAACAAAATTGGCCCAATGGGCTTTGTCAACAACAAAGAACCAAAACCCAGTTGGGACGAGGTCCGTCGCAGCGTTAAAATTGCGATTTAGCGGGAGGCCGTGAACCTCGGTAACGGGAAGGGGCAACTTTCTTCTTCTTCTTCTTCTTCTTCAGGTTTGTTCTGAAACCCTAGCTTTAAATCATTCTTCTGGTTATGTTTGATTCGTGTTAGTTGCTTCTCATTATGATGATTTGGATGCTTGAATTTCTTGAACAATAGCACTTTCTAATTCTCTCTCTCTCTTTCGCTCTTCCACTCAAAATCACCAATACTTCAATGGCTAAAATAGTGCCATTGTCATAATTTTCAAAGATCGTTTCTTAGTCTGTGTATGATGTGAAGGGGGGTTTCTATTTAATTAGTCTCCAATCATATATGATTAGAGTTTGATTCTTTTTGGTACGATTATATTGTTGCTCGAATTTACTGAACAATGTCGTTACTGATCACTCATGAATACACGCTAATGGTTTAATGAGAAAGGAAAGTGGTGCTATTTGATCATCACCTAGAAGGTTCTATAGTTTAGCATGAGGATATGTTTTTTTTTAAAGAGAGAATTTCATGTTTGAAATTTACAAAAAGAATGTGTTAGGATAAGGGAGGTATGACTATAAGAAGCGAAGGAATTAAACAATACTCCAAGAAGATATGAAAATTTAGAAGATTCTAGTATAAGTTTGTGTTTTCTCTATGTATACTCTTTGATTTTTTTTCTTTCCATAGATTCGAAAGGAAGTCCATAATAAGCTTTCGTCAGAGTTTTTGCATTCTTGAAAGAGGTGGTACGTTAAGGCCATGTCCAATAAATCCTTTACCTCCCTAGGAAAAGTGAGATGTCATTTGAAAATATTGAGTATCTTTGTCTAGAAATTATAAGTATATGTGCACTTCATAGACATGTGGTTTTGTGATTCAGTTATCTTTCTTGCATAATTAACACAAATTTGAAAATAGAATCATGAAGGGCATTCTTTGGTTGTCATTTTTAATATGGGTTTAATATTGTTGGGGTTCTCCTCCAGTCCCCTGCTCGATTCCCCTTTCACCTTGGAGCCAAGCTTTCCTATATGGTAGTGGGGAAAATACAAGAATAGAGAAAATCAGGGTAAATAATGTGAGTTTTCTGTTCTAGAGTAACCATAGATTATGTTGAAGGCGACTAAGAGAGTGAATCTCTGATATATCACTTGGCAAATTAGTTAAATCTTGAAGCATGACTAAAGCAATATGAAATTTATCTCTCAGGGAAGTGAGTTATTTTTTTTTATACATGCACAGGCAAGTTGAGTCTGGGGAGATGAGTGTCAGTCAATTCAGTCAGATTGGCCTTTTGGTGCCATTTGTTCAAGACATTGTTGGATTTGGAAGTAACTGATAAAATTTCCGTTTCTCTGCTGTGTTTGCATTTACACTAGATTATAAGAATGGTAATGGTGGTCAAATCCATTGGAGGAGGCTCTTTTCATTTTTCATTATTATTCTTATTCAATGTTTTAAAGGTAACATTTTAATTGTGTTACCACAACTGGATATTGGGAAATATGATAACTTTAGTCGCATCATTTGAATTTAGATAAAATGCTACTTAGAATCAAAATACTGATTGTAACTTGTAAGTCTTACTCCTCAAGATTTCTGATAGGTTGAAGGAAGAAGTAGGAAAAATGTTTCTCAAAGTGCAGCTGCCATGGAATGTCATAATCCCTGCCGAAAACTTAGATGCAAAGGGCTTGATGCTCCAAAGGTCTATCATAATCCGTCTGCTAGATGAATTTGCCACAAAAAAGGCCACAAAGGATCTCGGTTATTTTCTCGCAGTTACGACTCTAGAAAATATAGGAGAAGGAAAAGTTCGACAGACCGGCGATGTCTTGTTTCCAGTTATTTTTAGTGGTATCACCTTCAAGCTTTATAGGGGAGAGATCTTGGAGGGGGTTGTTCACAAGGTTCTCAAACATGGCGTTTTCTTGAGATGTGGCCCTGTTGAGAACATATATCTCTCTTATCTGAAAATGCCAGATTACCGCTATGTGCCGGGTGAGAATCCCTTGTTCATGAACGACAAGCTTTCAAAAATTGAGAAAGATGTAGTCGTACGTTTTATCGTCATTGGAACGAAGTGGCTCGAGGCAGAAAGGGAGTTTCAGGCACTGGTGAGTTTGGAGGGTGATTATCTAGGGCCAGTTTCTTAATGAATTTCGGGCACTGGTTTAGTTTGTATTCTGTATCTAAGTACGTCTTGATAACATTCCGACTCATTTCGATGCAACTAACCTTGTTGGATGTTGGAAGTTTGGGATGGAACAAAGTTTAGGGGACATTATTAATTGAAGCTAAATGTTTGTAGGAAGTTTCTTGGACTTAATAGTGTCCCACTCTGTTTAATTATCTTGTTTATCGCTTCATATGGACATAGAATATGTTAGATATTTAAGTTCCAAGCATTCAACTCTTGGATGTTTATTATACTCATGAAACATAGCCTACGAACCAAATGGATCGCAGGCTCATCATACAGAGGTTTCCATTGAAGAGGATGAATAAAGAGAACAAAAGAACATCCTTAGTATAACCCACATGGCTTTAGGTGATAATCAGAGGCAGCCAAATGGTATTATTTAGCGGTAGTAGAAGAAGAATAAGATGGTCTAAAGAACATCAGGGCCGCCATGGCAGCATGTGAATCTTATCCCGCTTCCCATGTAGCGACGACACACAGGGCAGGTGATGATCAGAGGAATCCACCCACTAAACCCGATTATATTCACATGTGTGCAGTGAAGGCTGCTGGCAGTGAGCTCGTCGAAGTAATCTTTGAAAGAACCAGAGAAGCCTACTTGACGCAAGTTTTTCTTCCATATTTGGAACTCGTCAATGGCTTTTAGTATCAAATCGCCACCACCGATGAACACGACTGTCGGACCTTTGGTTATGATTGCCCATCCTTTCTCAGTTTCATAAGATATCATCCGCGAAATATCTTCGGAGGCAGTCGATCCATGTAGTTGATGCTTGAGAATGAAGTAACTCCGTTGCGCCATCCAGAAATTAAACATGACGGCTGGATCATGTTCGCCTTTGTTGTTCCGTCCCACGGGTACTAATTCAAATGTAATTCCTTCTTCTCTGGTCACAGGATCTCTCTTCATGGCTTCTGCTGATTCTTCAAAATTTTTTACCCATCTAGGATTGTGTCCTCCATAGAATATGACATTCCTTTCCTGGTTAATCTGGTTCAAAGAATGGTTGTTATGAGCTTAGATTTTGAACGATCAAATGGTTGTCAAACGAGATAGGTCTCTAAGAAAGTGAAACAAAATGCAGAAGTCAAGAAACAAGAACGTTACCACGACCAAGCTCTTCAACCTTGGTTGGTCGGTAAATTTAAGAACAGTTGAATCAATCCAATTCTTCTTCATCAAAACTTTTACCCTGTCGTACGAGAGAGGAATGGCCTCTTTTTCCCATACTCTCGTCAAATGGATAGCATTTGAGAATTCGACTTTCGATTGTGTATCGAGAACGACCAGTAATAGGTCTTCTCTAAGCTCCCATCTCTCCTCCAAGAACCTCACACCTGCAATTTTTGTAGCAAATGGCACTACGAACCATTTCATTTCAGATTTCAAAGCTTCATATGCTTCCTCATCACCATCATTAGGAGGGTCTGAAATTACAGGAATCCAAACCATTTCAAACTTGTTTTCCTTCTTCACTTCCTTGTAAATCGATTGAAGAATCTCAAGATCTTCTCTTGAAAAATTCAAACTCCTTGAAACTATCAATATCAACTTCTTTTCCTTCATAAACTCTTCAATATGTTCCTGCATTCATACAGATTGTGTTGAACTATATTCAAATGTTCTTGAAAAACATATCAGTTTTTGCAATGTAAATGAATGTATTTGAAGACCTCCAATTGAGTAGAACAGTTAATGAGAGGCCTGGCTTTGTGTTTGCCATTGATCAGCTTGGCAAGGAACAGTGTGACATCGGTAGGAAAATGATCGGTTTGGTCGACCAGCCATCGATAAAGTTCTACCTCTTCTGCAGAACAGAACCCATTTTTTTTTTCTTTTCCTTCAGTTTCTTATTAAGTAAATGGCTACAAGAAAACTTCCATTAGAGAAGAAGAAATTGACCTTGTTGTTCTCGGATGAACTGCATATGATTCTCAAGTGTCAAAACTAAAGTGCTCACCTTTTCTGTCATTTCATTCAAATATTTCTGTGTTTGACCTCTGAAATTGCCCCAACAACCGTTAGATTATGAAAAATTTAGTCTCGTTCGATACCTGTTTAGTTTTTAAAAATTGTGTTTCAAATCTTACCGTTTTTACGGTGGTTTTTATCTTTCTTAGAAAACGTTTGAATTTAGAATTGAGTTCCATATATAAAAACAAACGAAACAAAATGTTATCAAATGATAAGGACAATGGACTTCTACAGTGATATGTTATTGTCCACGGTAGATACAAGTCGTAACAGACCAAGCCTACTGCTAGCACATATTGTCCTATTCGGACTTTTCTTTTCGAGCTTCCCCTCAAGGTTTTAAAATGCGTCTGGTAGGGAAATGTTTCCACTCTTATAAAGAATATTTTGTTGTCATCTCCAATCGATGTGGGATCTCACATCAACTCTCGAAGATTACTTTTTGAGCACTCTAAAAGGCTTCATATAAAGAAGTTAGATGGAACGAAACCACACGGAATGCACTTGGTGTTAGACCACTCTCACCTTAATCTCTTCCCCTTGAACAAAGATATACTTCTCGTATTAGTCTACCCGACATGGACGTGATACGTCTACTCTCCATTCAAATCTACCTGATTTGATAGAGCTCTTTTTGCTTGCCACATTTTAGTCCCACTTGGGATTCATCCACAAGTCTCACTAAGTTTGTGACACAACTAAGTTTAGACCATGACTTAAATACCTATTATTGAGGACAATGAAACTCCACCTGTATTCATGTTAATATGATATTGTCCACTTAGAGTATAACCTCTCATGTCGTTGTTTATTATTTGATATGAAAAATTTCTCTCTACTCGTGGCGTGGAAGAGCGAGGAAAAAAAAAAAAAAAACTTACTCGACCCCTGAAAGATAGCAATGAAGTTCAATGCTGGAAGCCACGAGAATGTGAATAATCCAATAAGAAACCAATGGGATCCGGCGAAGTGCTGCAGATAACTCAGGCACATCTTTTGTATCATATTTTGATAAGCTCTTGAATTCAATTATGTATTTAACTGCCTTCAAACAATTGTAGATCATACTGTTTTGGTTGAAAAACACCTGCCCATACTTCACAGACTCCAACTCCTTTCTCAGCAAACCCACTCGCTTGATCATTGCCAATGATTTAGCGAGTGGATCCGAATGAGAGTGATTGTCGAGATGCCACAAAACTCCATAGTTCGTCATGAACGCTGCAAAGATCAGCATCGCCTTGGCCTCCCATGGATATCTTGTGAGTTTCGAGAGAATGTCGAGAGTCGTTTTGTGTACTGTTTCTACCCCTGGAGGCTTACATGCCATCTGAAATTTTATATCCTAAACATATTAGTTCCAATACCAATTGGGAAAAACATGTAGAAGTTTTTGTGCTGATTAATGACCTCTGATGAGATTTGATGAAGGGTGCAGATTGGAGGATCAATTGGGGAGGAGGGATAATTCATGGTGTCCTCTGCCAATACAAAATTCCCTTTGCTTCCTTGTGCCTGAAATGATAGGGCGGCCCGAGCGTTAAAAATTTAATATCAAGTAAAATAGATTCTATCATGGAAGAACGAGCTTTCTTGCTCGCCCCTCTCCCCATCTCTGAAGGGACGTAAGTTTAAGCACTGAACTTGAAAGGAGATGAGATTCATTCCCTTGCATTATTGGTAGTACTAGAAAAAGCTCTGTTAAATGTACTTTGCATAGAATAATAAGAAAAAAACTCGAGATCAACGAGAAGGCAAGTGAATCTAACCCAATGAGAAGCTACACAAATTTGATCTGAGGCTTTGAGGACGTTTTCAATGAACACAACGTAGTTATCAAGGTCGATCTTCATCATCTCCTCGTCAGTCGTAAAGTTGAATATACGATTCGTGATAACATCGTCCGACAAGTGCTTTAGATCCGGCTCTTCCTTGTCTGTTTGCTGTGATAAAGCAAGCGCCAAGGCAGTGGCCGAGCTCTTGGAACGAAGTAACGACATGGTTTGTTTGGAGTCAAGATAGAGAGATTTGGTTTGATGCTATTTTATTGTATATTCCTTGGCTTTGATTTGTATCTTATTTATAGCTCTCTCATAAGGGTGAAAAATTAGAGAAAAAGCAAAGAATTTGAAGGAGTTTTTGTTCAAAGAAAGAATGAATTTCATTGGTGATACTTAGATGAAGCTTTAATGAAGTTTCTCTACAAAGCTTCATTGAGTGCTTAAAGAATATAGAAGTTGCTGCAGCTTATATTGAATAAATATATACTATTTTTGACTTTTGTTTAGATACTTTGGGTGACGAAGTTAACTAAAAAATTTCCCATGTAAACATCACTCTAGAGGAAAACTTCTTTTAGTTTTGAATTTTCGATCTAGATCCACTTTGGCAAGATTTAAAGAACGAGGTCGGCGAGATCCCACATCGGTTAGAAAGGGGAACGAAATATTTCTTATAAGGGTGTGGAAACCTCTCCCTAGTAGACACGTTTTAAAACTGTGAGATTGACGACGATACATAATGAGCAATTGATAAAATAAAACGTACTTGCCAAGCAGAGAGAAGAAATTACATTTTAGGAATGAATTGTACAAATTTCCAACCATTATTTGCTCGGGAGGAGATTGAACCTTTGATGTTTTAGATGATAATCAATATTTTATTTACTAAACTATGCTCTAGTTGGTAGATATGAGTCAATTGAATTAGTCAAATCTTGATCTTTGTATACAAATATTAAGCGTGTTTATATGACTCAATAACTTGAACCATTTGAACTACCCAACTCAGATTGAGTTGGGTTAGATTTTTTTTTTTTTTTTTTTAAGTTTGGGTTGAGTTGAATTTTTGGAAAGTAAGAAATTCGGTTCGGTTCGTGGGTTAGAGCTGTTTTAGTCGAGTCAATCTAATCAACCCGGATCACAACTCAACCTGACTTTTAAGCTTACTATGAAAATTAAAAATATTTAACGTTTGTATAAATGTTAGTAATGCGTCATGACTTATAAATATTTGACATTTGAGTTTTATGAGATTTTAACTATTAATGTGACATGTAATGTGAATAAGTATGATTTTTTAAATAATTAAAAAAAAGAATTGCCCGACTATCCATACTAACCAACCTGGAAACAAAACTCTATATGAAAATAGGGCCACCAACTCAACTAACTCAAAATGTTAAGTAGGTA